GCTGTCCTGATCATGGCACAAAATCTCTCTCGCTTTTAGCAAAGTGAAAATAAAGGGTTACTTCTGGCTGCAGGCATTTATGTACAAAGTGGTTGTTGATTTTGTTCTGCTTGCTTTTTGCTGCTCCCAAAGGTTTGATATTTGACACAGCACAGTTTAGGCAGTGCTGTGGTATAGGCCATTGACATGTGCTGGCATCAGAAGTACATTCTCTTTTTACAGGCCCCGGAGCATGAGCTGAACTCCAAAAGGATCAAGCATTGGGCAGGAGTCTGAAGCTGCTTACTATGTCCAGGATGGAGATGGCTACATTTAGATGTAGTTTGCCAGGAAGGAGTAGATAAGATTGCTCTGATCTTCATGATAAAATGCTTATCAAGTATATAGAGCTTTGAGCAAAACCAGGCAGTTGTTAGGAGAACCTGCTGAACTGCTGTCAGGATGTACATTTATCATTGGAGTGAATAATCTGGTGTGACTGCTTTGTCTCATGTTTTGCCAGTGTGAAACCAGGGTTTGCTCTACAGCAAAAAAGTGCCCAATAGAAAGGAAAGGTTTCGAAACCATCAGAGGTGGTTCGAAATCTCCTTTTCTTAGCAGATTAATAAGGGACATATGCCAAGGCCACACACAATTCAGGCCTGCTTCACCCAAAGCCACTTGAATAAAACTAGGCATATTGCAGAAACTGCACACACTAACATAGACCCAGGGAAATTAAGCTTTTATCTTTAAACTGACTACTCAAGCCCATTTTCCCCTGCAATAAATACTTACTATGCTGGTATCCTGGTTTCAGCTGGGATAGAGTTAATTTTCCTCCTAGTAGCTGGTACAGTGCTGTGTTTTGGATTTAGTATGAAAATAATGTTGATAACACACCGATGTTTTAGTTGTTGCTGAGCAGTGCTTACACTAGTCAAGGACTTTTCAGCTTCCCATGCTCTACCGACTGAGCAGGCTGGAGGTGCACAAGAAGCTGGGAGGGGGCACAGCCAGGACAGCTGACCCCAACTGGCCAGAGGGACATTCCATACCATGTGACGTCATGCTCAGTACATAAACTGGGGGAAAGCTGGCC